TCCTTTTTCGAACACTAACCCTCCCCCCTTTTTAGGTTCCAACTATGTATCTTTATAGTCATTTAAGTGCAGTCCAATTCTTCTTCAGTTTTAGAGCATTGTGCAGATGATAAATTCATGCGTTCAACTATGGTATATTGATAGACTGAGCAAATTTCATACCAAATTTCGTTATCACTGTATCCAAATAAGACTNACATTGTGCAGATGACAATTTCATGTGTGCAGCTAATGGGACATTGACAGACTTAGCAAGTTTCATATCAATTTTGGTTATCACTTTATCCATATTAGACTCTTGATTAATAGTCATCCTATTGTTATCCATATTCCTTTTAATAACCAAGCCAAGAATTTGTTTTTCCTCTCCTAAGTCTTTCATCTCAAATTCTAATTTTAAAAAGTTTTTCATCTTTATGATTTCAGCTTTACTAGAGCTAGTAAGCAACATGTCATCCACATATAACAATAAATAAACTTCACATCCTACACTAGAGTTATTAAAATACGGACATGCATCAAATCCACTCATTTTAAAATCAATTTTAAACACTTGAGCATCAAATATTTTATACTATTGCTTAGGAATTTGCTTAAAACTATACAAGAACTTTCTAAGCAAGCACACAAGTTCAGATTTCACCCTTACCTCGAACCCTTGAGGTTGAGACACGTAAATCAATTCATCCAACTCCCCCATGAAGAAAAGTCGTCTTAACATTTAGTTATTCCAACTCTCAATCATACTGGATAATTAAGGCTGAGACTAACCTGATAGTTTTATACTTAATAACTAGTGAGAACACCTCATTATAGTATATTCCCTCTCTCTGAGTAAATCCCTTCACAACCAATCTAGTTTTATATGTTAAAGGGTCTTTATGTCCTACTCCATGTAGATCCATTTACAACGGACTACCTTTTGATTCTTTGTTTTTTCAACCAACTTTCAAGTCTCATTTTTGTTCAAAGACTCGGTCTCCTCTCTCATAACCTTTTTCCAATTTTCAGAATTTTTACAATTAACCAGTTCCTCAAATGAAACCGGTTCAACTGACTCCAATGCTTCACCTCAAACGAAAACAAATTCCATTAAATTTGAAGAGATGTATTTCAAATTGGGTCTCATTTATCGTCTTTCTCTATCCTCACTAATTGGTAATCATCCAAATTAGTACCTGCAAATGGTTCTTGTTTAGGGACAACAATTTTAGGAATTTCAAATTCAATTTGCTCTGTCATTACTTCTTGATCAGATTCTTCTTGAGGTTGGATTTCACTATCCTCTGGATTATCATCTAATCACTTCACCCCAAACTCAATCTTCTTTCCAGTAGAAAATTCTCCTTTCTAAGTCTGTTTTTTCTGACTATCTATATTTTTAAGGCAAGACACATCAAGTCCATTGAACTTCACATCTCTACTGTTAATAATCTTAATGCACTTCACACCTAAAATCCACAATCTATTTCATTTCACTCCCTTTGGATAACCTAACATGACACACACTTAGTAGCCTTAGGGTCCAAATTACCTTCAACCCAATGTACATGAGTAGCACAACCAAATACTTAATGTGTGACAAATCTAGGGTTTTTTCAGACCACAACTCTTGGGAAGTCTTAAAATTAGCAAAACTAGTAGTGGCCTATTCATCAAATAGACGTATACAAGGTTTCACCCCAAAAACCTTTAGACAACCCTGAACTAATCATCATACATTTGACTTTATTTATTAAAGTCTGATTTATCCTCTCTGCCACCCCATTGTGTTGGGGGATATTTCTCACATTGTTGTGTCTCATAATACCCTTTCCCTCGTAGAATCTATCTAATTCAAATTTACAAAACTCTAAACCATTGTCTGTCCGAAGAGTTTTCACACTTTTTCCCATTTGAGTTTCAACTAAGGTAAGCCAAGACTTAAAAATTACTAAAAGTTTCAGATTTAGATTTAAGGAGATATACCCAAACAAATCTGCACAAACCAAAGGCCAGCACTACAATCCACCACCACTACCACCTTCAACTCAAATCTACCTTCACCTCAAATTCAAAACAACAATCACCATCACCATCACTAGCACCTTTAACAAACACCAACCAACCACCACCACTACCACCGACATCACACCACCCACGGGTTAGAAAATCTAAACACGAATTTCCCTAAATTCCACCACCAACAGAACCACCATTTTCAAATTCTAGCAAATACATTTTATCATACAAGTTGATCATAAATTGATGATTCCACTTCATCAACATGTTTCCACTTATTGAGTCACAATATCGTCCTCAACTATTTTAGCAATTCCTTAGACCTCACTGTCGATTCCAATCCCGGTGGTGATGTTGTCCTCAACTATTTTAGCACTTTCTTGGACCTCACTATTGATTCCAATCCCAACGGTGGTGGAACTGGAGGAGTGGGAAGAGCAAGTAATAGATCTGGAAGAGTGGATGATGGAGGAGTGAGGGGTAGGAATGGGAGACTTAATGGTATAGCTGTAGAGAAGACTCTAAATATAAGGTCGTGGAACGGAGAAAGGTTGGTGAGTGGAGGGTGCGCCTCAC